TTATGAGGATCTTTAAATCAGTATTTTTTTCATTCTTTAAGGGCAAAAAATTCCAGTCCATTGATAGTTTGTAATAAGGTACACATGCTAACTATGATGAATAATAGATTTTGCAGTTATACTTTAAAAAGCTGAAAGAATAAGATAGCTAAAACTGGGGGATCTCAAAAGCACATTGCTATGCTACTTGCAACACCCCAATAATTAAACTGATTCACTTTTTTACCAGTCATGTTACTAGTGGTGAGTTTATATGAATATCAATATAAAGAAAATTATTCATGCCTCAGGTCTTGGTTTTTGTATAGGAAAGAATTGTGTTTGCTATTTTATGACACAAATCATATGGATATTAATTTTAATGGTAGCTTTGGGGTTTCTCCCTACAATAACCACGAGGCTGTCTCCTGCAGAGAGAACTTGGAAGGAATGAGTTACAAGCAGTGTAATTAGGCCTGAAAAATTTAGGATCTTAAAATCCAAAAAGGACCACATATTTGTTCTATCATGTATATTTTTTCACAACTTGCTTTAACATTTGTGTGCTGTACAATGTGACTGAATGAAATTAGTGTTCCCATGAAATTAGTCATGAAATTAGTGAAATAACTTTTTAATATGTGTTACAGTTCAGGGCCAAAAATTCATGAAAAACAGCTACAATAATATTTTTTAAAGTTTTTTTTTTATCAGAGGCCTATGACTTCTTACTGTTTGAGCTAATAGGGTTATAACAAAGCTACATTTCAAAAGGGAGGCAATGGAAAAATAATTAAATTATATGATTAATGACTTTGGATTCAAATACAGTAGGTCCACTTTTGCAGGTGAAGGGAGCAGAATGCCCACAAAAATAGAACATTAAAATTTTTAAAAAATTAAAAAGCACTCTTTCCTACCAAATAATATATCTAGGAATCTCTAGGTCCTCCAGGGAGATTGTGGTGTCAACATCTGCTATAATCAACACCTTATGGTCAACTTCTTCTGGTGGATGTTGACGTCCTACAATTTCTGCCACTGATAATGTGCCCTGGTGACAGAAATCAGGGGAAGAACCAAAAAGATGAGTTATTTATAGGCAGATCCAAAATTACACACAAATGATTGAAGCAAACACCACCACCAGTCTATCTTGCTACCAGCTGAGCATATTTTATCTGAAATTTGGAAATCCAAAATACTCCAAAATTCAAAACCATCCAATGAGTGGCTGAGATAGTGATACCTTTGCTTTCTGGTGGTTTTAATGTTGTTATATTGTATTTTATATGTTGTATGGCACCATTTTGTGCTTGTAAGCTGCCCCGAGTCCCTATGGGAGATGTTGGCGGGGTATAAATAAAAGTTTAATATTAAACTTCATTACATGCAAAATATTATTTAAAGTATTCCATAAAATTACTTTCAGGTTATGTGTATAAGATGTATGTGAAGCACACGTGTATCTCATCTCCAAGATATCTCATTATGTACATATATGAAAATACAGGTATACCAAAATCTGGAGAAAAAAATCAGAACCTTTCTGGTCTCAAGCATTTCGGTTAAAATTATATTCAACTTGTATTTTAAAGGAAGGAACTGGCAAAACCACCTCTGAGTATTTCTGGCCTATGAAATTCATGTAGATGCCATAAGCTGATGAGAAAGCACAAAAACAGAGAAAAATAGGTTGCTGTGAGTTTTCCAGGCTGTATGGCCATGTTCTTTGGGAACGTGGGCATACAGTCCAGAAAACACACAACAACCCAGTGATTCCGGCCACGAAACCCTTTGACAATACATTGAACAGAGAATGATGTTTCCTTCTTCCTCCATCACGGCCAGCCATTCAGCTCAAGGTAACCTGCTCGCCCTTTTCCCATCTCTCTTTAAGCTTCCATCCTTAGACTTTCCTTCTGCATCTACACTGTAGAATTAATGCCCCTGATATTACATTTGGACCTTGGTGGCAATTTCAAATTGTTAACAAGGAATCCCAAGCCCCGAAGATTGAACAGCTGAGGAACCAGGGAAGATCTTCAGCAGCCACTAGCACCAAAGGATACATTGTCCCCAGATCCCCTTTATGAAATACAAAATAACCCCCTTTAATAAACAGACAATCTGGTGCCCCTTTGCTTCATGCATGTGTCAATGTAGCTTTCTTTGTCTCTTTTTCCTGACTCTTTCTTTGCTTCAAATTGCCTGCCTAGGCTACCATGCAGCCATCCTAGTCCCAAATGGAATCCTTCCCGCTCCCCTTTTCCGGTTCCCCATATCCCTGAAGGCCCTGGTATCCAACGCTGATGGCCCCCATATTCGCAGGCCAAGTGGTACCAGGATCCTTGTATGTGTGTTTGAATGTTTTATGTTTTTATGATTGTATTAAATACTTTTGGAGCCATGGAACCATTGTGAAGACCCTGGTGACCTTTCACTGGCAATACATGACCTGGGTTCCTCTTGTGTCTTCTTGATCTTTGCTTAAACAAAGGACTCAAGCGCCCATCATCTTCAGCCAGCATGAACCAGATGCATAAAGAGATAACTGGACCCTGAATTGGGCCAACCTTCTTTTATGTGGCTACCTAGAAGACTCATTATCGTATGAGAGCCACCCTGAAGTTGGGAGATTCTATCACTGTTTCCTTTCAATGCCATTTCCTCTTTCCCAGGGAAGGATCACTTAATCCCATCATTCTGGACAATATACTGACTCAATCAACAATGGACACAGCTGCTATGGGCATTAGACTCACTTAGAATCATAGAATCAAAGAGTTGGAAGAGACCTCATGGGCCATCCAGTCCAACCCCCTGCCAAGAATCAGGAATATTGCATTCAAATCACCCCTGACAGATGGCCATCCAGCCTCTGTTTAAAATCTTCCAAAGAAGGAGCCTCCACCACACTCCGGGGCAGAGAGTTCCACTGCTGAACGGCTCTCACAGTCAGGAAGTTCTTCCTCATGTTCAGATGGAATCTCCTCTCTTGTAGTTTGAAGCCATTGTTCAGCGTGCTAGTCTCCAGGGAAGCAGAAAACAAGCTTGTTCCCTCCTCTCTGTGGCTTCCTCTCACATATTCCTCCGTGGCTTGATGGTCATTCACTGGATACTTTGAAAATCAATAAATCCCAGGGACCTGATGGCCTTATTTTGTTAGTCTCAAGACTGAGACACTATTGTCCACTTACAAGTTAATATTTGCCTTTGTTCCCCATGACCATCCTGCACCAGCCGGCCACTGGAGGACCACAAATCTGCACTGAAAGCAGGGAAAGCCTTCTGATTGGCTGCCAGGTGCCACAGCCCCACCCCACGGAAGAATTCCTCCCAGCTGGGCGTGATGTCAGCACCAGCTCCACCAATCAGCGTGAAACCAGCCTCTCCACATATAACAACTTTAACTGCAGTGGCTCAAGGCTATAGAATACTGGGTGAAGTACCAGAATTCTTTGGCAGAGACTGCTGACAAACATGTAAAACTGCAACTTCCATGATTCCATAGCATTGAGCCATGGCAGTTAAAGCCATGGCAAACTGCATTACTTCTAAAGTCCAGATGCACCGTTAAATAGAAACCCTTGTTATTAGAACTGCAAATCCATTATATCTGCCCTAGCAGGTACAAGCGAGTCATCCAGTTTCAATCTTGAAAGTTACGACTAAAACATGACTTCTACTTGCTTCCTCTTGGTCCAAAAAACAAGTCCAACAAGGCTCTAAAACAGTGAAAATCCTCCCCATGCTTCACAGAAAAGTGTATGGGGAACAATGTTAGCAAAAGTAGGTATGGCCCTCCAGTCTTCTGTGGGCCTAATAGACCCCTTGAGCTTTCCACAGTTGAACTCTTAGGATCATGGAAAAATCTCCTATGAACATGAAACTTGTGTAAGTATTCATAACTGTAAGAGCTGGACCTTAGGGAAGGCTGAGCAAAGGAAGATCGATGATTTTGAGCTGTGGTGTTGGAGGAAAGCGCTGAGAGTGCCTTGGACTGCGAGAAGATCCAACCAGTCCATCCTCCAGGAAATAAAGCCCGACTGCTCACTGGAGGGAAAGATGAGACAAAGTTGAAGTACTTTGGCCACATCATTAGGAGACAGGAAAGCCTAGAGAAGACAATTATGCTGGGGAAAGTGGAAGGCAAAAGGAAGAGGGGCCGACCAAGGGCAAGATGGATGGATGGCATCCTTCAAGTGACTGGACTGACCTTGAGGGAGCTGGGGGTGGTAACGGCCGACAGGGAGCTCTGGCGTGGGCTAGTCCATGAGGTCACGAGGAGTCGGAGACGACTGAACGAATGAACAACAAGAGCCTGAAGTTGCTGCAAGGAGAAGATGTAATATGGACTTCAGATATAATCAAAATCTTGGGTTTTCTGATGGTTTAGTACCTCTTGTGGTAGCTATATATTAGAAATATGTTATCAACTCACAAAGGAATGCTTTGAGAAAAAAATAACTTGTATGATTTGTCAAAAATGGTTTGAAATTTATCAGATGTATCCTAAGGCACAGGCTCACCTTTTATTTAATGTATTTGATAGTACAGAAGACACCCATCAATGCAATGCTTGGCACAGGACAGTATGATATTCAATTTTCTCTCATGTTGCAAAGGGATAGACTTTTCCTCTCCAATGTACAGATATCAAGTGTGTACAAACGTAAGTATCCATACACATCATACTTGCATTTCAAGTAATATACAGATAAAGTTAAATTTAGCTTTCCAAATTGAATCAAATATTTGTATGTTTAAGCCTACCATTTTTTCCTAAAGAAAATGCCTGAAATTAGAAGCATAAAATGTTTTAAATAATATACACTTCACCCTATAATCCTCTAGCATCTACTGCTACCATCCTGAAGATGCAAGAGGAATAACTGGACTTTGACTTGTTGGAGAACAGTCGGCGTGACAAAGCCACATTATGTTAAGCCACAAAAGTGAATGAATGATCGAAGGATTTATGTTTTCAGCAAAACTTCTCAGAAGAATTAAGGCAATAATTACACAAAGAAATTTTTATTGAAATCATAAAAAAATATATTCTAATTTCATGGAAAAACATTCTGAATAGAAATATACAGGATAACGAGAACTCACAAACAAAATCCTATAGTTAGTTCGCACATAGAACAGGTAGGCACATGAGAAAAACGGGCTCAAATCCTGAATAGTATTTCGCAGATACATGACAATGTCAAGTAACATCATACAAAAGGTCTCATGACTGTATATAAAAAAAAGTCATTTGTGTAGAGATATAGAAATACATGTGATTGAACCATTTATTGAAAGCCAGTAAGAAATAAGGATTCAAAACATGTTTCTCACAGGAATATGGTCATGAGTTAAGGTGTAATTTCACCACAGGATTGAAAGGCAGATAATCTTAATTTCTGAGGAAACTATAATCCAGCTATTTGCCAACATACCTATCCTGATATTAAGAAGTGGCAAACACTGCTGATTTTGAACCAATTTGCATGGAAATTAAAAATGCATTTAACGAGACATGTTCCATCTTCACTTCAAGAGCTGACATATAGGTAATTGGTTGCATGCAAAACAATGACGCGCTTCCCATCTTTAGCAACTTGACTGTTGACCTCTTCCCTAATGAAAGATCTGTATGAATATAAACCATGCATTTATCCCTAGTCTTCTTGGTATAAACCATTGCTTCAAAGAGAAAAGCTTTCATGCTGAATGTAATGCTAGGAGAGGCCCATTCACAAATAACTGAGTAAGGTAACAACGGTTAACTTGTAGCTTTCCAGGAGTTGATGAACTACTACTCCCATCATACCTCAGCACGACTTTTAAGCCTTATGGGAACTGGAGGTCAATATCTGGAGAGTCCATTGGCTCTTGTGCTTTGGGGGTCCACATCAAGCTATAAGGATATAAACTAGTACATTTAGAATAGATGACTGCTTCAGTAGTATATGGTCTGGCACTCTGTCATGTCTCGGGCTAGCTTTTTAAGAATCATTCTACAACATGGCCTCTTAAAGGCAATAATAAATGTTAAAGCTTTTAGATAGGAATGTACAAAGTGCGTCTTTCCTAGCATCATTTCATCACTGCCACCAGCCCTATCATCATATGCAGCCAATGGTAGCAGATTACTGGAGATGTAGTTCAAAACGTTGATGAGGGCTACAACTGCTTTTCCATTTTAGACAACCAAAACGAAGGGCAGGAAAAAGCTAAAATAAAACCTATACAACTTTGGCTAAGCTACTAATGTGGCGCAAGAAATTAGTGAAAGTAGGTGTAACAAAGGTCTTTTGCCAAACTGCTAACACTAAAGTAGACCCACTGGGCTTAGAATGCATGTTCGGAATTGTGCCCAGCTTCAATTTGTTCTAGATATTTACAGGAAAGTCCCCTTCCTTTCATTTTCTAGGAGGTAATACGAGATAGCAAAAGGGAAGGGAAGCTTGCAAATAATAACCTATTATTGGATCTGGAAATCTACTGGTTCTTTATACTAATTTTAAAATGAACACTGCCTCCTGCAATGCTATAGCAAACTGATTATCAACATTGACAAATTTTAACTAAAATATGACATGGCATGGAAAATAGCTATTTAAAGGTTTTTAAAAAATCTTAGTGCTACTGCAAGCCACTTGCAAAGCTAATTCTTTGGATTCCACTTCAAGATTGTATGCCTTGAAGTGTCAATCATATTTCTCAATCTTAAAATTAATTATTTTAGCAAACAAGAATTGAGTTGTTTTTAAGGTTATGCATCTCAACCATGTATTACAGTAGGCACACATGAAAACGAAAGGTTCTGATTTGGAATCAACTGCTTCTGGAACAACCGAGAAACCAAAAAATGGGCTGGAACTACAGGAGCCCACTCTTAATATGATGATATCGTTTTTGCTACTTTACATAATGCCAGACATTGATTTACATATCTGAATAGACATTCTGAATTTATGTACAGTTCTGAATATTAAACATCCATTTAGAGATATGATTCAGTATTAAGTTTCATGGATGTGTTAAATCAGAAGAAAACCAAAGTTCTAGCACCACCTAAAAAACCATCTAATATCCAAAGTTCTCTTACAAGCATACAGAAGTCATTTATACAAAACTAAGTATTTGGAGTCTCATCTTAGAAGATAAGATCAATTACCAAATTTGGCCTTAAATAAGTACTTGGCAGTCACGCCTTGAAAGCATATATGGTGGCTTGTATTGAATTGGCTGCTTTCCAAATGATCATTCCTTAAACATTAATCAGAACCTAATGAACTTTTCAAATAGAAAAACAATTTAATAGCTTCTGAAGCAACATTTCAGAGAAAATAATAATTTATGAAATTCTACAATAAAAAACAAACTCTAATTATGCCCAATATTTGTTTCTAAACTATTTTATAAATTGAAATTAGCTATGTTTTAACCCTCCAAATAAGACCTATGTTATTTGTACATTTTCCTGTGCCTGTGTCCCCTTCTAACATTGCAGCCTTGTTCTTGCAAGTGCAAATACAACAAAACATGGAAATAAAAACTGAGATAGTTGAAACAGTGAACATCATAATGTTAAATAAGATAAACTCATGATGAAATAAATTTTGTTTGATGAACATACATTAAAATATATATTATTTTGACCAGTGTCCTTTAGTCAGAACAGTGAAATAGTCTCTCTTATTGTCTCAGTGCTGAAAGAATATTTTCCTTTAATCAAAGTCCTCCTTTAAACCACTGTCCTCCAGGCTGATACTTTTCACGAAATTTTTGATTTTCTTTTTCTAGGTGATGTGCCTTCTTCAAATTTTACTGCTCCATTGACAAAGTTAGCTATGGCATAATAAGAGAAAAAAGGTTTAAAAGCTATGTAAAACTATACAGTATATAAAAACAAAGTTATGGCAACTTTTTCTTAAATCCCCAAGAACAAAATCAGGAATCATTCAGTCCTCCATTTGCTGGATTGCAAGTGCAAGTTGAGCCTCCCTTACCTGAAATGCTTTGAACCAGAAATGTTTTATATTTTGATTTTTCAAAAATTCTGGAATATACAAGCAGTATAGTATGTACTGCATTTGTGAGACTAGACAGAGAGAGAGAGAGAGAGAGAGGGAGAGAGAGGGAGGGAGGGAGGGGCTGGTGATGTAAGGATTTGTGCTGAGCATTATGCTTGGATTCCTGCCAATTTATACATTCTTAAGTTTTCAACACACAACACAAGTAGCGAACCAATATGGTGCCAGGCTGAAAGAGATTGAGTGTCTGAAAGAAAAATGAATGCTGCTACTGCCTCAAAGACAATAGTGGGCAGCTGGTGGCAAGAAGTTTTAATTTTTTAAAATTTCTGAATAAAGGAGGTTCAACCGGTACCAGTGAGTCCTAGCCAAAAGAGCCAATAGTAAAAAAAAAAAATGGAATTGATATTCAATGACATCTGAAGGACATCCGATTTCCAATCGTAGCTAAGAGTGCCCTAGATCTCATTGCTAACTCCAACAGGTTTACCATTGCTAAGGTAGGCCTAATGAGTCAATAGAATGTATGCAAACGTTGATCCATTATATGTTGACACATTCTAACAAATGCATTTCAGCCTTGGTATTAAGACTGTATTAAGATGTTCAAGCAACAGAAGTTAAATTAATAACTGCCCTTGTTTAAGTTGCACCCAGTAACACTAGGAATGCCATTGGGAATGGAAGAGTGTACAATTGTAGCAAGTCCAGGGAGCATTTTCAGCCCTGGGACCTCATTTCACCAGCTAAAAATGAGTACTAAATCAAAGCATAGACTTGGTCAAAAGAAAGTTTCAAAAATAGAGTTTTTTAAAGTGTCAAAAATGATATGAAAGAGATATTAGCACTTAAAATGAACTGCCACTACTGAAGGCTCCATGGAGAAGCAATTCATGCCTTTTTGTGGAGTTTGGAAGGGTCAAGGGCTGCAGCTCCCAGTTTTGCCCACCTTTGCCTTAGAATTTCTATATTTATAAAGAAGTCTGGATAACTAGTCACAATATCTAACATTAGAAATCATATAAACCATATAAAGTATCATGTACATCAGATGAAATAATTTTCCTTGGTATCAGCTATGGCAGGGCCCTATTTTCTCACCTCTACATTTTGCGGCCTGGATGGGAATGTAAATGTAAAAACTATACTTACTTTTACATGATTCTTTTTTTGTTGGTTTAATCTTTGTGTTAGTTTTTTTCTTGGGAATTTGGTTCTGTGCATGTTCTCTCCATTTCTTTAACTGGAAATTGATGAATTTCCACATCATCCATGCTTGGGTCAAACAAATGGCAGCCAGACAGCTGATTCTAATGTGTTAAGGATTAAAAGACAGTTAAAGAATTGTTGTAAGGGCAAACTTTGAAGAATTAGAATAATATATTCAATCAGTAGATGTTAAGCCAGTGGCACAGATATTTCAAAGTATTCATGCAGTACTCAGTAAATAATGGATTTAATATTAAAATAAAAAATAAAGCAACAGTAAAGGTCTTCTGTAACAACATCTTGGTCTCTCAAATTTAAATGACATTTTGAAAAAAGTGATTCTACCTAATAGGGAGTGTATTGAAGTTTCCATCTGCTATGGAAAAACCAGGATTCTCTGCTCTTGCCAGGCCAAATCCAAAAGTGAGGACTGATAAAGTTAGGGTCAGAAGACGAGCCATCACGAACTGTAGAGCCCAAAGAGTAAACCTGGGAGGAGGGGGGCACACACATGAGCATTCCTCTATCAGTTGCTTCAAAAACACTCTAAATTCTCAGATTTTAAAACACTCTTTTATATTACTACTTGTAGATAATGGTAGTGAATTACAGCAGCTTGGTTATAAACAGTTTGAAGTATTAAAGTCATTTCCTCTTCTTATTTGAACATCACTGTAACCAACCTATTGTAGCCACCTTTGGAACAAAGGGCACCCCCCAACAACACACAGATGGAATCTCTCATCCTTATATATAGTTCTTCAGTATATGTTTGTCTGACATAAAAGCATTCTACCATTATTTTCCTATAGCTATTTTACTATTATTTTCCACTCTGAAAAAAACCAGATAACTTATTTGGCCAAAGTACAGGCATTAATACAGACAGAATGCTAGACACAGTTCATGCACAACTGAAAAATATGAAATGCCCACACAAGAAGGGAATGAGAGGAGTATAGGAGTATACAAGACACAAGATTTATTTATTTATTTATTTATTTGCTATATTTGTATACCGCCGTTTCTCAGCCTAACCGGCGACTCAACGCGGTTTACAACATATCAACAGTATACAGTTAAAAGCATAAAAAACATAAAACACAATTCATACATCAATACCAATCCAGTTCAACTCTTAACTAAAAACGTGATCCAGTTCGTCGTCCATATTGCCAGTCCTTTAGTCAATTACCATTCATTGCACTGAGTTAACCAAATGCCTGCTTGAACATCCAGGTCTTCAATCTTCTTCGGAATACCATCAATGAGGGGGCTGATCTTACCTCCAAGGGCAGGGCGTTCCATAGCCGTGGGGCCACCACAGAAAAGGCCCTGTCTCTCGGTGATAAGACCGCCCGAAGCCGAACTGAGCAGGCGGGATAGAGAGCAGGGCCTCCCAGAAGATCTTAGGGTCCTGGGCGGGCTGATAGGCCGAGATACGTTCGGATACGTAGGTTGCGCCAGAACCGTTTAGGGCTTTAAAGGCCAACGCCAGCACTTTGAATTGAGCCCGGTAGCAAATCGGCAGCCAGTGGAGCTGGTGCAGCAGAGGAGTTGTATGCTCCCTGTGCCCCGCTCCAGTATCATGGCTGCCGCTCGTTGGACTAATTGGAGCTTCCGGGCCGTCTTCAAAGGCAACCCCACGTAGAGAGCGTTGCAGTAGTCCAAACGGGATGTAACCAGAGCGTGGACTACCGTGGCCAAGTCAGACTTCCCAAGGTACGGGCGCAGCTGGCGCACAAGCTTTAGCTGTGCAATGCTCCCCTGGTCACCGCCGAGACCTGGGGTTCCAGGCTCAGCGTTGAGTCCAGGATCACACCCAAACTGCGAACCTGCGTCTTCAGGGGGAGTGCGACCCCATCCAACACAGGCTGTAACCCTATACCCTGTTCGGCCTTACGACTGACCAGGAGTACCTCTGTCTTGTCTGGATTCAATTTCAATTTGTTCGCCCCCATCCAGACCGTCACAGCGGCCAAGCACCGGTTCAGGACCTCGACAGCCTCCTTAGTAGCAGGTGGGAAGGAGTGACAGAGTTGGACATCATCTGCGTACAGATGACATCGCACTCCGAAACTCCGGATGATCTCACCCAGCGGCTTCATGTAGATGTTAAACAACATGGGAGACAGTATTGAACCCTGAGGAACCCCACAAGACAAAGGTTGTGGGGTTGAACAGGAGTCTCCCCATAACACCATCTGGGACCGACCCTCGAGGAATGAGCGGAGCCACTGCAAAACAGTACCTCCAAGACCCATCCCCGCGAGGCGTCCCAGAAGGATACCGTGGTCGACGGTATCGAAGGCCGCTGAGAGGTCCAGCAGCACCAACAGGGACACACTCCCCCTGTCGAGCTCCGACGCAGATCATCCACTAAGGCGACCAAAGCTGTCTCGGTACCATGCCCCGGCCTAAAGCCAGACTGTGCCGGATCCAGATAATCCGTGTCTACCAAGAATGCCTGGAGTTGTGAGGCCACCACACGTTCCAGGACTTTGCCCAAAAAGGAGAGATTGGAAACAGGCCGAAAGTTGACGAATTGAGTGGGGTCCAGTGATGGTTTTTTCAACAGCGGTTTTATTACAGCTTGCTTTAAGCTGGCTGGAATTTTGCCTTCCCGGAGGGAGGCATTAACCACCACCTTCACCCACTCGGCCAATCCCCCTCTGGCCTCCTTCAGAAGCCAGGATGGGCAGGGGTCTAGGATGCATGTGGTAGCTCTCATTCCTCCAAGCACCTTGTCCACATCCTCGGATTGAACCAATTGAAATGAATCCATCAAAACCGGACAAGCAGATGCTAGTGTTACATCCTCAGAGACTGCCGTTAATATGGTATCCAGACCAGAGCGGATCAAAGCGACTTTGTCTGCAAAGAACTGAGCAAAGGCTTCACAGCGAGCTGCCGAGTCATCAGGGCACCCATCCTGAATGGCGGGTTTTAACAGGCCTCTGACAACTCGGAACAGTTCAGCCGGACGGTTCTTTGCAGACGCAATAGTGGCCGCAAAGAAAGTCTTCTTTGCGGCTTTTATTGCCGCGGCATATGCCCTTAAAAAGGACACAAACCGTGTTCGATTTGGCTCGCTCGGATTCAAACGCCACACGCTCTCTAGTTCCCTCTTCTTTCGCTTCAACGCTGCCAGCTCCTCAGTGAACCAAGGAGCTGGTTTAGCTCGGCTACTTGAGAGGGGACGTTCTGGAGCGATCGTGTTTATTGCCCTAGTCATCTCCCCATTCCAGAGAGCGACCAGGGCATCAACAGGATCACCAACCGAGGCGGCGGGAAAATCCCCAAGAGCCGTCAGGAAACCATCCGGATCCATAAGCCTCCTGGGGCGGATACCAGGAGATCGGAACTAGCATGGGTGATGGATGTTAGCACTATCAATGGAGCTACCAAAGTTCTTAAAGTGCAGATGGCGGTTGTGTCAGTCTCACAGTTCTTAAAGTGCAAAGGAAGATAATAGCACTCTCCTTCGAGCTACCAAAGTTCTTAAAGTGCAGCCAGTGGTTATAGCAACCTCCCAGGTCTTAAAGTGCAATAGGTTATCGATGTTCTCAATCTCTTTATTAATGCAACTCATAACTGCAGTCATAGCCACTCTTGCAAAAGTCGAGGGCCAACTGCAGGTTTCTTCACTGGATGCCAATTCCACAAATATGGATGTACTCTGGAAGGTCCTAGTAGCTACAAACTTGATTCTTCCTTGTAGAATATTAGATACTAAGGCCTTTAGGGCTGACTTTAAGGCCAAAAAGGTTAATATGAATGTAGTTGGTCATTTAAATATTGTCTTTATCCCCTCCTAATGCAAATTTGGGCAGAGTATTAAACAAAGCAGGGAAGAGAGAGGGATGGGAAAGGAAAACCCATTTCACAGTAGTCACAGAAGTAATAAAGATTTTTACCCTTTCTGTTTATTCTCATCACTGAAGTAGAAAAGACGTGAAGCATGAAAGATAAGTTCCACAAGATAGTGAGGTACCAGCAAAATAAGACCCAAGCGATGAAGGCTGCAAAAGTAAAAATAAGTATTTCCTTAAACATATTAATCCACTAGTCAAGTTACCAGCAACAAAATAATTACTAATTGCAGCAGAGAACTTTTTAATTTTGTAGAGATGTGTGTGCACGTCCCAATTTGTGTTTAATCATAAACAAAAGAAACACCAAGTTTCTCCACTTTAAAACTGAAGCACTAAACATTACGCTATAAGATTTCAATAAGGATGGATGACACATTTACTGAACATCATATTTAAAAAACAGTAAATTTACAAATACTCACTTCAGAATGTAGGCACCAGATAAGTGAGCAATATAAAGGCAGATATAGTGCAACTGTCTTGGAATATCTTCCTAGAAGTACATATAAGGAAAAACAAGCACGTTACACTTTAAGGATATAAAGCCTAGTAGATACTCTACCAATTTCCTTGTTCTTGACAGACATATCTCAGTTTTACAATCCCCTGAGAAAGAAGCTCCCTTTTGCAGTTTTGGTGCCCCCCACACTATTTTGATCTTGTCCTCTGCCTAGCCAGATAATACTTAGGAGCACCGGGAGACTAGGCTGAAAGCTGGAGAAACGCAGATTTTCAATATCGATTGTAGCTGCATTCACCAACTAGCAATAAAACTTCAAAAGGCCATTAGTTTATATGTTTCCAAAATAGAAATCATAAGAGAGAGAAAAAGGGGGTGGGGAGGTCAGATAGAGTGAAATACAGGTTACTCCTGGATACTTCCTTGAACAAGCCTTCTACTTATGAAAGGCTTACCTGACCTGACTGCTTCATTTCAGACGTATATATTGTTGGTTTTGGATGAAAAAATTGCTGAAATATGGTGAACTGCTCTTCATTTTTTTGGTCCCATTCTTTCTATGTTATTTCTGCATTTGGCACCAACTTTTCAGAACTGATGTCTAGCAACACATTTACTTCATTCACTGAGTAGATCTGTACCTTATAATTAGGTTCTCCCACAATGTGCTACATTGCTACTATGGAGGGGGTACCTGTGCCTGCCCACCCAGCCTATTACTTTTAATCTTTCCCTTATTTAGAAAGGCATATTCTTCTGTACTGTAGAAGTTTAACATTTAGTGAAACTAAAACAAGGTAAAAAGTGCCTCAACTGAACTTGTAAATCATACCTTTCTAATCTTTTGGAAGTAGAGTTCTGGCAGAGCATGAAGCCAATAAGCAATTTGACAGATGTAGAAGAATTTAACCTGAAAACTAGAAATTAAAAAAAAAATTCACCCATAATATACTGGCTTGTAGAGATCATTTAACAATTATATTGACCAGGCAATGCATGGCTAAGTTGAAACATGAGTCTGCTTCAAAATTTTAACAGTGCAGATGAAGGTAGGAAAGCTGTGAAGTCAGCAAAGGAGCCAAATCCCACACTATTTCCTGCTTCAAGGGAAAGAAAGACCAGTGTGGGTTTCTTGGCTGTTGCTTGGCAATGCACTAAATATTCTGGTCTAATATAAATGCAGGAGAGGGAGGGAGGGGTGGAAGGGGAGCCTCAGAAGCACTCACATCTCCTACACGTTTGGGGAAGAACCTAATTCCCACAATTTTCAAACCTGATAACAAGGCAAGTCGAGAATTGCCTAACCCCCTAACCATATATCATACTGGATATTGATAGTTCTCCCATCTATTACAGGCTTCCCTCAGCGCTAGATGCCTTACTTTTTGTCAATCTGTTCTTCTGACCATTCTAAATTACTGCTAACTACTGTGTATTTGATGCATGACCCGCTTTTTTGACCACATGTCAAATTAATGTATTCCAGTCATAATTTAAAAGGGCCAAAAAGCAGAGGTGGGAGTCTCTCCCAGGTGGACTCTGCCTCTTCTGCACTAACAGAAACCCATGCATGTACCATGTGACAACAACAAACCATCTGTATCAGCTATGTGAGGCTAGAGCCTTAGCAACCACCACCGAAGCTGGTGTTTCCTTCCAGCTTCTCCACCTCTCTTTCTCTCCACAACCCATCCCAGCACCTCAACTTTTGTTTTGCACAAGGTGTACTATTAGGGGGAGAACTCTGCTGCAGTCTGCCTCTTTTCTCTTTAACTACTGTATTTTCTGGCATATAAGGCTACTTTTTAACTCTCAAAAGTTGGGGGTCGTCTTATATGCCAGGTGTCATCTTATAGGGCGAGTGCTGAAACTTCCAAGCTGCACTGAAGAATCTGCGGTTGCCGCATATGGTGGGGGAGCTCAAAAATGGCCGCGGCCGCATCCCCACCACATGCGGTGACAGTATGGAAGCAGCAAGGGCAACGCTGTACAAGAATGGTAGAAGAAAATCCACTCACCAGGATTCGTGAAAAGAAGTGACAACGTGGTCCCAATGATAAGGTGAGGGGGCGCCTCACTGGGAAGATGTAAGTGAAGGGTAGAACAACCTGCAGGCATCTGGGATGGGAGAAAGATATAGAGCGGCACTGTGCCCAAAAAACAGGCCTCTTTCGTCTGTCTGGGCCGCCCTTGTATCCTATTACCATACCTCCTTCTCTGCATCTCAGACCTATCATTTAAGAGTGTGGGGCACCTGTATTTATTAGAGCTTGATAATATTTTATTTGAATTAACACTGAAGTTCATCTAAGGAAGCTCAGACAGCAAGTGCACATCACATACTACAGCATGAAGGCACCACTTCCACCATGCTCTCCTCCTCTGCTTTTGATGCAACACAATAACATTTAGTGCACTGCAAAATTACCATAACATTTTACTTTCATGGACTTGCCAAAACACCTTTTACACTACTATGTGAAGGCAGGGTAGAATTTTAAAAGTGACAATTTTGTAAAGACGAACGTCAATGCAAGACATAAAAATTGAGTAGGGAATACTTAAGAACAAGCCATTCAAATCTTTTAAATAAAGTTGCCTTCAAAAATAATTTTTTAAAAAAACCGGGAAAAACCAAAACAAAACATCAAGTTAGATAAAAAAAAAAGAGGAGACTTACAACATGCGAGGATGAGGATAATCTTTCCACAACAAAGTTGGGTTTGTTGTGAATTCTTCCTATAGAAGGAAAACATGAAGTTGAAAAACTTGATCATATATTTTGGAGCTAATGTGCATTTAAATTAAATTCTAGAAAAATAACTTGACTTACTTACTGCAGACAAAATACTAGCTCCCCAGACAAATGAAAACAAGTAGAAAAATGCTAGTTGTCCGGATTCATTGAATTTGCTATGCTTTGTTTTTGATAAGTGGAGGCGTCTATTAATTTTCTAGAAAAAAAAGGAAAAAAGTAATAATTTACATGCTTGAAAAAAACAATGCTTTTTTGGCTTAATATTTCAACTTGATTTTTCTGATTAGAAAAAAATTATGCCAGAATACCCACAGACAAGACATAGTAGCAACAATAAAAACACAGAAATCAATTATTTTCTGTACCCACTTCAATAAATTATGAACCCAGGAAGATAATCCAACTTTCTACAAATGGCAATATACATCCATCTTTAACATTTATATTCATTCCTATGCAGTAATGCTTCAAATTGGACTTTTAGTTTCTAGTTTATGTTTTTAGCCAAGCTCGCACTATGAACAAGATGTTGTCTTTGTTGTTATGTTTAGTTGTATCCCGTTTTTATCTCACAACCAAGACAAAAAGTGGATCACAATATTAAAAAAGAACAATTCAGAATCCACAAACATATTTAAATCCACAAACATATTTAAATCCACAAACAAACTAACATTAAATGACCAGAAAATTAGGTTTAGCTAGTAAAGTATTAGAAAAAATATAATTCAGAGCATGATCACCATATTGTGTCACAGTGTAGAGCCCAAGCCTATGCATAATGCCTGGGTACATAAATCTTGGCTCAGTAAGCTAATTTACTCACAAGCCTGAATATTCTATCAGTGGTCCATGAATGCAGTCTCCTGGATTAAACAGTTTGCTATAGCAATTTTGAACCAACCAGAACCAGAGGTTACTGTTTCCAGTTAATATCAGACCCTAATTAATTCCAGTACTGGTACACATACTTTCCTAATTCAGAAGTAATTGGAAGTAATGGTTAATTAACCCAGGACATTCTCAACAAGTAGCTGAGAAACTATATTATATCTTTACTAACACTGCAACATTTTTAGGTAATATAGAACCAACATCGAATAGTGAGATGAAAGGGGGAACACTGAGCAATTCTAGAAGCTAGCAAGAGAAGACAGCAATAATGTGATACTAATGAACATTTAATAGCTAAAAAGTGAAAGTATTATTGGTCACAATAATACTTAATGTATGGTTAAATGGGCACAAAATGAAGGTTATTACATTCAAATGACACGACAGGGAAAATGTGAAGAGAAGTTCTAAAATTTACTTTATGCTATGATTTTTAAAAATGTTATATAATATATAGAGAGTACTTAGTTGAAATGTAAAGAAAAAGAATGAACTTTTTTCATATACAGTGGATATATGAGAAAGCAAGAAAATGTTGTGTTTTAATACACTTTTTTAAAGAAGAGAAACTAAAGACAAGCATTCAGTTTAAGCCAGAATTTATTTTTCTTGGACTAATGGAAGATCAAACTAAAACAAAATATGAAAAAATTCTTCAATACATGATAATTGCAGCTAAAATATTTTATGCACAGAAATATTAAGAATCTGAGATAGATAGATAGATAGATAGATAGATAGATAGATAGATAGATAGGGTGATGAAACATTAAGATTATACAGAGATGGACAAAATAATAATATTTTAAATGGCTGTAGGAAATGTTAGAGATATAGGTTGATATAGAAGGATGTCTTTCTTTGATTTAATTACTTTATTCAGTCACCTGACAAGCTAAACTTAGAAATGTAATTACTGATTAACATAGAACAACCTATCAAGTACCGCTGCTATGCAATGTCTCTTCATAAGAGCCCTCATGAAGTTAATGAAGTCTGCAATCTACTATACAGCTAATTAAATAAAACTTGTTGGCCTTAAGTTGCATGAAACTTCTGACCTAGATATATTTTACTCCTCACTAGAGTGGATTCACTGAATCACCCATGACAAAATATGTCTACTCCACTTGAAACTACACAGGATTTTCTAATCTCTGTTGTTCATGAACTCTACCAACCCTAAAATTACACAATTGCTTAATGAAGTCTTCAAAGAAGTTTATTCCTGAAATTCTATATTCTCTACCAGGAAATCCATATGTTCGATGCACCACTCCCTCAATAGGACAGTTGAATAATTTCATGGAAAAATGATGGTAGAATGTATGCTGCTCCAGAAGCTGTTGCACCATAATGCTCACCATTTCTTGCTACTGATCAGGGCTGAAAGGAGTTGGAAGTTCAATACCTGAAAGCCAGAAGCTATCTATTCTTGTTATTTAAAAAAGTTGCAACTCCCAGCATCTGACTCTGGGTGTTCTTTGAAAGGGAACCACCTAATTGGACATCTGAAAGATCTGACTAATGATGGAGGAATACATGTCTCCTACAATCATTAGGAGAAAGCTAGTCAGATGAAAGTTTAACTACGGAATATCTTGACTTCTGGGATCAACATACCTATACACTACTTTCTAATATAGAAGATTGAGGGGGCATATCCCACAGAATTCTCTCTTACAGTTGCAAAGCCAGCCATGCTTTCTGAGAAGATGCATTTTTGCTACTTATAAATATGGTAATATTAGTAATGCATTTTAGTATCATTTTTCACATCAAGAAGGAAATGTGCATTTTTAATAAATAAGTCAGTAAATCCAACATATTTACATCCACTGAATAATTGTGAACTTACATCTAGAATGTATTCCTGAATCACTGCATGGAGGATAATGGCTATAAGCATGTAGAAAAATATGGTTGCCACATCTTTTGGACCATACTCATAGAAATAAACTGGCTCAGACTTGTCATCTGAAACACACAATATTGTATTATTATTACAAAAGTATCAAGTTATATATACTTGGGAATCATATTTTATGTAACAAGACAATACAAAAATGTTAGTTTTCAGCAAAATTGTTTATTTTACATGTGTATGGTAAATTATTCTCAAAACCTAATGAATTCATGTCTTTTAATACTTTTTCTTTGAAATTAAAATAGATATGAATTAAAGAAATACAACTCTTTCTGTTTCTTTTAAAAATCTGCAATGCAACTGGGGGGAGGGGCTCCAAACTGATGACACTGAAGACAAGATGGAACTGTATTTTTGGCCCCTGTCTTCACTCTGGTCCCAGAGCAGCAGTTGGTGTTGGGGAAGGGGCTCCCAACCGATGACACTAAAGACAAGATGGAACTGTCTTTATGGTCCTTCTCCTTACTCTGGTCCCAGAACAGCAGTTGGTGTTGGGGGGGGGGGGGGCTCCAAACTGATGACACAGAAGACAAGATGGAACTGTCTTCTTGGCCCATGTTGCCTGTAGATATATCTATCTATATCTATGGTCGGGTGGCTCTTTGTCAGGTGGGCTTTGATTATGTTTTCTTGCCCTGGTGAAGGGAGCTGGACTGGATGGCCTTAAGGCAGCATTTCTCAACCTGGGGGTAGCGAGGGAGTGTCAGATGGGCCGCCAAAGACCACCAGAAAACAGTATTTTCTGTTGGTCATGAGAGTTCTGTGTGGGAAGTTTGGCTGAATTCTATCGTTGGTGGGATTCAGAATGATCTTTGATTGTAAGTGAACTATAAATCCCAGTAACTACAACTCCCAAATATCAAGGTCTATCTCCCCCAAACTCCATTTGTGTTCATATTTGGGCATATGGAGTATTCGTGCCAAGTTTGGTCTAGATCCTTCATTGTTTGAGTCCACAGTGCTTCCTGGATGTAGGTGAACTACAACTCCAAAACTCAAGGTCAATGCCCACCAAATCCTTCTAGTGTTTTCTGTTGGTCATGGGAGTTCTGTGTGCCAAGTTTGGTTCAATTCCATCATTGGTGGAGTTCAGAACGCTCTTTGATTGTAGGTTAACTATAAATCCCAACAACTAAAACTCCCAAATGGCAAAATAATTTTTTTGAGTGATGGTCACTCCTTGGGTTAGTAGGTGTCTTGTGGCCAAATTTGGCGGCAATCTGTCCAGAGGTTTTTCAGATATGACATCACTCAAAACGAAGAGACCATATATATAGATAGATAGCATGAAAACTGTTGATAAAATATTAATGTTTATTGATGTTTTAAAATATAATCAGTTATGCAAGCGGATTTTATTCTTACCTGTTGTATATGTAACATTGTACTGAACAGTAATAAAGATGATGGCAGTTTTGGCTGTAGCCTAAATGTTAAAACAGAAAAGACTAATCAATAAGTTATCATAAAGTTATCTCTTTTGTGGAGAGAAAAAGTGGGGTATAAATAAAACTAAACATAATAATCGTTTTTAAGTAATCATAAGGAGCAAGTCTGCTTATCTTAACAGAAAGGCAGACATAATAACGAACTATACGTAAAGCAATGGCTGAACAAAAAATGAGTATGCACTTTCAAAGCCTACAAAATGCACCATAATTATGGTTAAGAGATGAGACTGTCTGGGTGTTGAGTTTTGGAGGTCAGGTCAAAATATAAATTCTAGCTACATCTTACAGATGTTTGGGAAGTACATTTCTGACCATTCCTCACTACTTGCCTTCATGGTTGGTGCTTATGAAACTTATACATGAAAACATCAGGATACTAATTAGGGAAAGGTATAATAGAGTAATCAATATATCTTGGTCACCACTCAGATATTTAAGTGCTTAACTCAGCAAAGCGCAATGTTTCAAACATACATGTTTGTTAGGTACATTAAAATCTATTACTATCACACAGCAGTTATGAGCTAATGGAATCACTTGGATCCATAAATTGAAGAAATGCAGTAGCTTAATGTATACTGTAAAACAGCAGACAAAAACTACTGTATTTCTTCAATTTATGTCTATGAATCTTATTTACCCCACAAGGTTCCTACCAAAACCCTGGAGCCTCTTGAATGGTGCATCATCATGTCCAGGAGGAAGAGAAGAGTATTCATTTACATCCTGTTTTTCTTCCAATATAAGACTCAACGCAGCTTACAGTATATGATCCATTCACTTCTCATCTGTACTTCTAGACAGCATTTATAGATGCAAAGATGTCCGGGCCAAGTAATGAGAAAATTAAGATCCAGGGTGAATCTACACTGTAGCATTAATGAAGTCTGACACCACTTAACTGCCATGGCTCAGTGCTATAGAGGTGTGGGAGTTGCAGTCTAGTTAGGCAACAGCACGCTTTGGCAGAGAAGGCTAAATACCACTACAACTCCCATGATTCCAAGCCATTGATCCATGGCAGTTAAAGTGGAGTAAAACTGCATTAGTTCTACAGTGAGATCAACCTTAGGTCTACACAGCTGTATGACTACAGCTTTCTTCACATTGTTTATACTAATGTCAAAGTTGGGAATCTGATGAAGCCAATCACTTCTCTTTTCTGCCTCCAGCTCATATCCCAACTGACCTTTGCTTCTCCTCCCTCAACCTTATTCTGAGTCATATTTGCATGATGTTTCATTGCCCTCTTTCCAAATCTACTATCCACTCTATATATCTGCACACCAGATCCAGCTCTGGATAGAGAGTCTTCAAATTTGACAAAGTATCTTGGATTTTTTTTTGTTGTGTCAGGAGCGACTTGAGAAACTGCAAGTTGCTTCTGGTGTGAGAGAATTGGCTGTCTGCAAGGACGTTGCCCAGGGGACACCCAGATGATTTGATGTTTTTATCATCCTTGTGGGAGGCTTCTCTCATGTCCCCGCATGAGGAGCTGGAGCTGATAGAGGGAACTCATCTGCCTCTCCCCGGATTTGAACCTGCGACCTGTCGGTCTTCAGTCCTGCCGGCAAAAGGGTTTAACCCACTGCGCCACCGGGGGAATAATTTGTCTTAACTCTAATAATATAACTTTATGACCTTGCTTTCTGTTACCAGAATGAAATAGATCCTGATCTTTCCTGAAATAAAATCTGATGGGCATAAATACATGCAGATGCACTGCCAATTATATGAAGATTTGGCTACTGCCAAATTAAACAATATTGCACACATCAGGTCAGATGGCTTCAAGTGTATGCGCAGATGAGCATGTTATTCGTTTAAAAAATTTCAACACCCTGTTTTTCTTACTATTATTAAACTGTTCTAAAAAAAACACCCCAGGATCAGAATAACAGAATTTGAAGCAACCTCAAAAACAGTCTAATTCAACCTTGTTAATGGAGGAACCTGTTGTTTTAGCATCTCTACTTGCTGGTCATTCAGTCTATGCTTAAAAATGAAAACCACCCTCCAAAAGTATTTATTAGTTGCTTTAATGCTTAGTTTAGTGCTTAGTTGAAAGACTTGCTTATAATTACATCCTGTTGGATTGTGTATCATCTCTGCAGCAACAGTAAACAAATTCAAATGTTCAAAGGTGTTTGGCTATCACTTCAGCTTTTAGTTCTCTCAGCAACAGGTTAAATATCTAGGCAATTTCAACCATTCCTCACAGGATTCTGTCTTAAAGTCACACAACAAAGTTGTCATCCTTTTCTATGTACTTTTTCAGTTTTCTAATTTCCTTCTGAAACAGCAGTGCGTTTTTAAAGCTATATAACCAATAGTTAAGAAGTGGCGGGGGAGGAGGAGGAAAGATTCAGAACATATAATGAGAACAAAGAGGCAAAACTTCAAAATAGTGTGGACATACAGGAATCTTTAAGATGAGGATTATGTATGTGTCTTAGTCACCTATCTATGAATTCCATGGGGGTTTGTTAGATAAAGAGTACTCACTGGTGGCTTATCATTGCTTCCCTCTGAGATATACCCTACTGCTGATATTAACCAGGCCTGAAGATCTGATATCTATATAACCTAAAACACCTAGTATTTGGTGACCTCCCTTCAAAATACTAACCAGAGGTGATCCTGCTTTGCTTCCTAGATTAAACAGAATCATGTGTCTTTAAGGAACAGTGGTATCAGCTAGGGTTTAGTTTTGGGATTTCCATGTGGATACCAAAATTCATGGATATTCAAGTCCCATTATATACAATAGTGTAGAAAATGGTATCCCTTATAGAAAATGACAAAATCAAGGTTTGCTTTTGAGTATTGCTTAATTTTGGAGTATTTTTAAGCCATGGATGACTGAATTCATGAATACAGAAGGCGGGCTATGAAGTTTTAACTTTAATTTCTTTGCCCTGAGAAAGTTATAAGCAAGGCAGCAGGCTAAAACTTTTTTTATTCAGGCAGTCTTTAGAAGAAGAAAGTTTTAAAAAACCAAATGAGGGGGTACTGTGTTTTATATAATTTAATAGAATTTAACGCTTTTGTTGCTTTTAATTATTTTTAATGTTTTTTTAATGTTTAACTCCGTGTATGTATTTTAGGTTTAAAATTATATACTGTATTGCTTTTATTATTAACTGCTTTGAATCTCTTTTTAGAGATATAAAGCAGGGCAGAAGTAAATAAACCCAATAAAATACATTTAAGCATTTCCTCTCTTAGCACTGTATCATTTGTAGCTTCTTCACTTCTAATTGATCCACTTTTCTTTTTTTAAAATATGGACTTTTCTCAACTTTGTTTCTCCTCAGTAAATTAGTCAGTTAAAGAACTTAAAACTGAAAACCTTTGAGATGTGATATTCATAGCCCTGGCCAATTATCATCAATTATTATCACTAAGGCAGGCTGAGTTGTTGTGTTTCCTACTTGAGATACTGTAAAGCAAAGCTACCGAATCCTGTGCCTTCCCATCAAAATTAGTATTTGTTGCTGAAGCAAAACTGATGGTTGATGTGGTTCATTAATCAGTTATACATACCTGGTTAACAGTTCTCTATACTTGTATATCTATAAAGGCTTCAAACCTCTCCTTTAATCTGAAACAATGTGCACTGAATTTAATGTACTGTCGAAGGCTTTCATGGGTTGTTGTGGGTTTTTTCGGGCTATATGGCCATGTTTTAGAGGCATTCTCTCCTGATGTTTCACCTGCATCTATGGCAAGCATCCTCAAGAGAGAATCTGCAGAGTTACAGGAGCCCATCTCTGTCCCTACTCTCTTTTAAAAAAACAATTAACCTATTTTTGCTCCCAGGCATATTGAGATGAGAAGGCATAGAATATCATGCATAGTCATCATGGATCGGAAATGTCTGGTCACTCTGGCTGCTGACTGCAAAAATTGCAATATTTTAACCTCATTTGGCTTTTTAAAGATTCTGGCAGTTTCTTACCAATGTGAGCTGTAATTCTTGTTAATCTGGGGTTACTTTTGATATAGATGTGGTTTGTTTTTGGTTAAGGTGGGGTGGATTATTTTTTTTCTCAGTCTAGTTTTAATTGTATTAAACATTTGCCAATATTTGTTATTAACTGCCCTGAGTCCCCTCAAGGAGATAGGGCGGGATATAAAGTTATTATTATTATTATTATTATTATTATTATTCTCATTTCACTTTTGACATGATAAATAAATCCTATCTGTTTACCTTTAATGCAATTTTACATAGCAAAAAAAGCCCTAAACGGTTCCGGCCCAAAATACCTTGCAGACCGCATCTCGGCCTACGAGCCCACGAGGGCCTTGAGATCATCCGGGGAGGCCCTTCTCTCGGTCCCGCCTGCCTCACAGGCACGTCTGGCGGGGACGAGGGAGCGGGCCTTCTCGGTGGTGGCCCCCCGGTTGTGGAACACCCTCCCTACTGAAGTTAGACAGGCGCCCACTTTGATGGCCTTTCGCAGGAGCCTGAAAACTTGGCTCTGCGAGCAGGCCTTCAACTAAGGGTATCTGTGGAACGACTTAGAATGGACTATGACTACGAATTTGGCTATGACCCCAGGATTAGGCGAAGCGGATTTTTAGTATAAGTATATGTGTAGTAGTAGTTTTGGTGTGTATTGTTGTGATTTTTGTACATTGTCTTTATATGTTGTTGTTCACCGCCACGAGTCGCCCCTAGGGCTGAGAGTGGCGGTCAATAAGTGCAAGAAATAAATAAATAAATAAATAAATCTTAATAAAAATCATTTATTTATTTACAGTATTTACATCCCGCCCTTCTCACCCCAAAAAGGACTCAGAGCGGCTTACAGAGTATACACATATGGCAAGCATTCAATGGTGAATATACAATTAATAAGGACAAACACACAGAGGCAAAGACAGTTGTTCCCATCTTATTTCTAGCTCACTTCTGGACACGGGGGGGGGGGGGGGGGGGGGGTTGCTATCGCTCCATTTTCCATGCCAATGAGCTTTCTCTGATCAAGGGTGCATTTATTACTTCCTTGCTAAAAGTGGAACTTATTTATCTACTTTGCATTGCTGATTTTGACCTGCTGTGTTGGAAGGCGAGTTGGTACTAACACCAGTACCCCAACCCGGAATCAAACTGCTGACCTTTTGATTTTTAACTATGCACCATAATAAAAATGACCCCTTCTCTCCTCTCTTTAAAACACTTCTGAAAACCCATCTATGTTCTCTAGCCTATGGAGAGGAAGACTAGAACATCTTAATATACAATCTTGTCTGGATACTGGAACATCCCCTGGCTCTGTTGGCAGCTTGAAACCACTCCATACTTTTAATGTATTTTAGCTGTTCAGATTTATTACGTTGTAAATATGTTTGATGAGCTATGTTTATCCAAGTACTTATTTTTGGTTCATTATTATAGGTTTATATTGATGTTGCTTTACTTATTGTTTTGATTTGGTCTGTTCTTCTGTTTGCTTTGTTATGGCATTGAATGCTTTCCACCTTTTGTTTGGAAACTGCCCTGAGTGTCCCCCCAGGGAGATATGGCGAGTTATAAAGTTGTTGTAATTGTTATTATTAGTAGGTAAAGGTTTCCCCTTCACATTAAGCCAGATGAAGATGTGAGGGTATCTTGGACAAGATTTGCTTCCTCATAGGATTTTCAAGGTAAACTCTCCAGATGTGTAATTTACCTTTGTTTTCTTCTGTGCAATATTAACCCATTAGGGTTAGTTATGGTGGAATTTCTATTATTTCTGAGAGTTCCTTTACCAGTAATTCACCATCAAGCAATGGGCGGCAGCAAATTGCTCACTGGAGCGGCATTCAAGAAACATACAACTCCCCTGTTACGCCAGCTCCACTGGCTGCCAGTTTGCTACCAAGCACAATTCAATGTCCTGGCTTTAGCCTATAAAGCCCTGAACGGTTCCGGCCCAGCTTACCTGTCCAAATGTATCTCACCCTATGAACCATCTAGGCGTTTAAGATCATCTGGGGAGGTCCTGTTCTCGGTCCCACCTTCTTCGCAGGTGCAACTGGTGGGGATGAGAGACAGGGCCTTCTCAGTGGTGGACCCTCGGCTGTGGAACTCCCTCCCTAGGGATAGTAGATCGGCCCTTCCCTCCTGACCCTCTGCAGAAAAGTAAAAATATGGCTTTTTGAACAAGGCTTTGGGAACCTAGTGCAACAGATAAACACGGAACTATGTAAAATCCAATATTGGAACGCCTTAGACAATGTTTTGGGACGATGAGGCTAATAGTGAAGGTAGTAGTTTTATATGTTTTTAAAGGTTTTAATGTATGTATTCTGTTTTAAATGTTTATTGTAAGCTTTACATTGTTTTAATGGCATCGAATAGCTGCCTATGTTGTAAAGCCGCCTTGAGTCACCTTTGTGTTTGAGAAAGAGGGGTAGAAATATCATAAATAGATAAATACACACACTACTGCAACTGTCTTATAGTTGCTTGGGACGTTTATTATGGTTCCTCAGCAAAAGCCTCTCTGACTTAAGAGGTCTTACCAACAAGCAGTGACCATCAACATTGCCTCTTTCCTCAACGTAAAGGTAAAGGTTTTCCCCTGACATTAAGTCCAGTCATCTCCGACTCTGACTCTCCATAGGCGTTGTTGGGTAACCCCTCAAACCAAGCCGGAAACAGCCAGTCCTTCATCTACGCATGCGTAATGGTGAGGGCAGGGCGGCGGAGGGGCAAGGGAGGGGGCGTGGCTCTCCGAAAAGCAGCCAGCGCGAGGCGGGAGAGTCGCCAACGGCTGCCGCTGCGTTGCCATGGCGACTGCCGCCCCCCAAGTCGCCCCCGCCCTCTTCCCATGTGAAGCCATACCTCGAACATGAGGCCCAAGAGGAGGCCCATCGCCAGGCAGGACACGGCGTCCGCATGGTTCTGGATAATGAACTCATGGCTCAGGGCCGGCGGGCTCTTGCTCTTCTTCCGGAGCCTCATGGAGGCGGCTCTCCAAGGCTCCTCCGCTATAGTCCTCCTCCTCCTCTTCGCCGCCTCCTCACGCCCAACCAGCCGCTCTCCTCACTCCCTCCCGCGTTCCACATTTTTTTTAAATCCCGCCTTTCTTACCAGCTTGGCCCAATCGCCGGGGGGCACAATGAGGATTGGCGTCCCGGTTGCCCAATCGCTGTCGCGTGCTTTCCAGGGGGCGGGGATTCCTGACTCAGAGAGAGAACCCATCGAAACGGATGTTTGGAAGAGGATGAGTGGCACGGCATCCGGCCAATCAGAGCGCCCAGAGGTGGAGTTCCTCAAGTTGTGTGCTCCTTTCTGTGTCCATGTCGTGGAGGCAGCATCCTCCTCCTCATCACTAGGATTGAAGTGCATCAGGTACGTCTGTGTGTGGGTGAGGGCGATCTTCTGCGTGTGTGGCGATATACCTCTCAAATATGGAACTTTATATATATATATTTTCTCACACAATGAGAATAAATCACTTGGGATTGGGAGGCGTGCTTCTCACAACTTCCTGTGAGTTGGAAAGCCTTGGGAAAGACACTCTTCCCCTCAGGATTTTGGGCCTTTCCACACAGCCCTATATCCCAGAATATGGAGGCAGAAAATCCCACAATAACTACTCTGAACTCAGATATTGTGGGATTTTCTGCCTTCATATTCTGGGATAGAGGGCTGTGTGGAAGGGCCCTTTGAAATCTTGAAAACCTTGCTTTCCAAAGCATTTGGGATTTCACTTTGATATTGATTTATAATCTTGTTTGTTTTGATCATATGCTTTGGTCAGTTTTGTTTTTACAGTGTTTTTGTTTATGTATGTTATCTGGCAAAATTGTTTTACAGTTGTATTGTATAGGCTTTAACAACCAAACCCAAAATTCTTGGAAGCCAACTGTATTCTGTATTTCAGATTTCTTTGGAGCAGTCAGCGCTCTGTAGAATCTATCTTTTATATACGGTAAATAAAAATGTGATGAAACCATGAAAATGAACAAAATCTGGCTGTTGTTCATTCGTTCAGTCGTTTCCGACTCTTCGTGACCTCATGGACCAGCCCACGCCAGAGCTCCCTGTCGGCCGTTACCACCCCCAGCTCCTTCAAGGTCAGTCCAGTCACTTCAAGGATGCCATCCATCCATCTTGCCCTTGGTCGGCCCCTCTTCCTTTTACCTTCCACTTTCCCCAGCATAATTGTCTTCTCTAGGCTTTGCTGTCTCCTCATGATGTGGCCAAAGTACTTCAACTTTGTCTCTAGTATCCTTCCCTCCAATGAGCAGTCAGGCTTTATTTCTTGGAGGATGGACTGGTTGGATCTTCTCGCAGTCCAAGGCACTCTCAGCAGTTTCCTCCAGCACCACAGCTCAAAAGCATCTCTCTTCGGCTACCAGTATTAAAAAACTCAAAAATTACAACAGCAAAACAACAGAGAGTAAACAAATCAGGCACATCAAATCACTCCCAACAAAAGATTCCCCCCAGGCACTTCCAAGCCATTAAATGCTAATCAAGGTGGTCAGTTGAAACATTCACACCTAGCTCCAGCAGACAAAAGTCCTTTGTCCCACCCTGGTCATTCCACAGGTATATAAACCCATTTTTCTACTTCCAACAGACCTCACTATCTCTGAAGATGCTTGCCATAGATGCAGGCAAAACGTCAGGAGAAAATGCCTCTAGAACATGGCCATATAGCCCGGAAAAACCTACAACAACCCAATGTAATGTTCGTTTGTGGGATTAACATAACTCAAAAACCACTGGATAAATTGACACCAAATTTGGACACAATGCACCTATCAGGCCAACGAGTGACCATCACTCATAAAAACACTGAGAAACAGAGCAGAAACGACTTTAAAAAAACAAAAAAACAAAAATTACATTGCAACACATGCGCAAAACTATATATATACACAAACACACATATATACACATGTACACAACCGACATGGGGCTCTGACGTGGGCTGGTCCATGAGGTCACAAAGATTCGGAAACGACTGAACGAATGAACAACAACAAACACAGATCATAGAATCAAAGAGTTGGAAGAGACCTCATGGGCCATCCAGTCCAACCCCCTGCCAAGAAGCAGGAAAATTGTATTCAAAGCACCCCAACAGATGGCTATCCAGCCTCTGTTTAAAAGCTCCCAAAAAGGAGCCTCCACCACACTCCGGAGCAGAGAGTTCCACTGCTGAACAGCTCTCACAGTCAGGAAGTTCTTCCTAATGTTCAGATGGAATCTCCTTCTTGTAGTTTGAAGCCATTGTTCCGTCCTAGTCTCCAGGGAAGCAGAAAACAAGCTTGCTCCCGCCTCCCTGTGGCTTCCTCTCACATATTTATACATGGCTATCATATCTCCTCTCAGCCTTCTCTTCTTCAGGCTAAACATGCCCAGCTCCTTAAGCCGCTCCTCATAGGGCTTGTTCTCCAAACCCTTGATCATTTTAGTCGCCCTCCTCTGGACACATTCCAGCTTGTCAATATCTCTCTTGAATTGTGGTGCCCAGAATTGGACACAATATTCCAGGTGTGGTCTAACCAAAGCAGCATAGAGGGGGAGCATGACTTCCCTAGATCTAGCCCCTATGCTCCTATTGATGCAGGCCAAAATCCCATTGGCATTTTTGCCGCCACATCACATTGTTGGCTCATGTTTAACTTGTTGTCCACAAGGACTCCAAGATGCTTTTCACACACACACATATATGCATATATACACACACAAAACACATATATACAGACTGAGCCACAGCAACATGTGGCAGGGGATGGCTAGTCATAGAAAAAAAAAGAGTTGGAAGAGACCACATGGGCCATCTAGTGCAACCCCCCACCATGCAAGAAAAGCATAATCAAAGTATCCTTGACTGATGACCATCCAGCCTCTGTTTAAAATATTCAAAGGAAGGAGCTTCTACCACACTCTGGGGCAGAGAGTTCCACTGCTGAACAGCTTGTACAGTCAGGAAGTTCTTCCTAATGTTCAGGTGGAATCTTTTTTCCTGTAGTTTGAACCCATTGCTTCTAGTCTTTGGGCCCTTCCACACAGCATATAACTCAGAATATCAAGGCAGAATAACCTACAGTATCTGCATTGAACTGGAATATCTGAGTCCACACTGCCATATATCCCAGTTCAAAGCAGATAATGTGGGATTTTATTCAGCTGTGTGGAAGGGGCTTTACTTTCAAGGGAGCAGAAAACAAGTGTTGCTCTCTCTTCCTTATGACCCTCTTTCACATATTGATACATGGGGTTCATTGGCTGTTGATAAGCTGCCGAGCCAAATTCAAGGTGCAGGTCATAACCTATAAAGCCCTAAACGGTTCAGGCCCGCCTATCTCTGCAATCACATCTCCTATGAATCGGCATGAGCTCTTAAGATCTTCCAGGGAGGCCCTCCTCTTGGTCCGACTACCTTCTCAAGTACGGTTGGTGGGGACGAGAGAGAGGGCCTTCTCAGTGGTGTCCCCCCTGTCTCTGGAACGCCCTTCCAAGGGAAATAAGACAGGCTCCATCCCTCCCCTCCTTTCATAAGAGCTTGAAGACCTGGTGGTTTAAACAAGCCTTTGAAAATGACCAGTTCTAACTCAGCCCTGCACGTTGTCGAATACGGCCTTATTCTTCCTACCAATTACCCAGATCATTTCCTCTAGTCGGCCCTGGAATGAACAGCCACAGACCCGTACCTAATATTATTGTTGCCTGCCATAGCATTGCACTTCATTCCCGGGCCCCTTAGAATTTTTGGGCTTGCACAAATCTTTAAAATTTTTAAATTGCCTTGAATAGGCAGGATTACTTTTAATATATGTGTGTTATGGCGACAATTTTTTTGCTTATATTTTGTTTTGTTAATCTTATGGTTATGTTGTTTTTACTTTGTATGTTTTGTGATGTTACCTGGGAACCGCTCCGAGTCCCCTTGGGGAGATGGAGTGGTATATAACTAAAGTTTATTATTATTATTATTATTATTATTATCATCATCATCATCATCATCATCATCATTTCTCCTCTCAACCTTCTCTTCTGCAGGTCAAACATACCCAGCTCTTTAAGCCACTCCTCATAGGGCATGGTCTCCAGACTTTTGATCTTTTTAGTTGGCCTCCTCTGGACACCTTCCAGCTTGTCAATATTTCATAGGGTTTTCTTAGGCAAGGAATTGCTCAGAGGTGGTTTTGCCAGTTCTTTCCTCTGAAAGATTACCCCTCCAGCACCTAGGAATCATTGGCTGTATAAGTGCTAAGCAGAGCCTAGCTTTCGCAATCAAACTGGATCTGCTATCTTGCGTTCAAGTCGCCTATCCATTTATAATGATACTATTAATCTCATGGGGTTTTCTTAGGCAAGAAACACAGCTGGCAATCATGGGGGGTTAGGCACACAGGACTCCTGTGAAAACGGAAAAAACGTAAATATTGTAAACACACACACAAACATGAATGCTACATAGCAACCAGGGGAACATCTACACATGCCACCTATGAAATTCATGGGATCACCATAAATCCACATGTGACTTGAAGGGATGTACATGCACAAAGGTATTTTTAGGATTACAGCCTTTGCGTAATCCTCTTTAGGTACACACCATTAATAGTTCTCAGTTTTTTTAGATATGCTGAGGTCTTAAAGGCACTAGGAAGAATATGCTGATTTAGAGATTTTTTTAAATTTCTTTAACGTTACACCTTTATATGACAATCACATTCACTAAAGTTTGCAAATAAAAATACAGATCAGAATACTCTTGCTAGTATGTTGTATTCCAAACAAAATTTAAAGTAAATGACCATTCCCTTGCTCCTCTCCTGTACAAATAGCATATAGCTGTATGTGTTTTGGGCCATGCTTGTTAAAGGAATGATAGCATGGGATGGGGGCTTTGTCTCCTGACATCAACTTAAATAGGAGAAATTCAATACTGAATATTATTTTTAAAATAGTGAAAAGCCAACATGAAAGAAGAAACTGCTGATCAGAAATTAAGGGAGTTGCAAATCAAAAAGAACAATTGGTAGAAAAGATAGCTCTGTGTCTTATTTTACAAGTTTTACATAATTCCTTTAGTATGGTTTCTAACTTG